CAACAAGTAAGGATCCCAGCACACTTCTGCACAGGGTTTGCCTGATGGGCGTGCCTATCGTTATTCGTTTATGAAGTTTAACAAGTACGGATCCCAACACACTTCCGCAGAGGATTCCCAGCAGTGCCATGTTTTTGAAGTTCAGCAAGTAAGGATCCCGGCAAACTTCCGCACAAGGTTCCCATGCGGCGTGCCTAACATGTACGGGTTTGAACACGCTTCCTCTTTTGGGATATCATTTATAAAGTTTCACCACAAGTACGGATCTCAACACACTTCTGCATGTGCTTAAGCCCTGGATGGGCGTGCCTAGGTTGCTTGGCCCTGAGCCAAAAAAGAATTCGTTAGAACGAGGACACAGTATAATGTCCTATTTTAACAAATAACATGTTAGGAATTGCAACCCTCACGAACGGGCCTCTCCCGAACCGCCGCCACCAAAACAGACGGATCGGACGGCCCTCGATGCACCACGCATGCCATCTGCCTTATGCTGCACGACATCGACCGCTGTCAGACCGGAAGTAACCCGCTTCTTAGCCCTATTGCATCTATGCCCCTGGACCCTTGCCACAGGAGATCTCAATCCTGACCTGGGACTCCACCACACCCCTTTTCGCACTTCCAGGCCCACATCCCACTCCGATCAGGAAGTCGCGCCGGACGTGAGGTTGGGCGTCACAGGGGCGTGTTGGGGAGCCTTACTCTACAGAGGCACTGCAAGGTGGGAGGTGGCTGCTCTGTCGGGGGTGGGGCAGATTTGTGGTTTGTCCTTGTCTGGGGCCGGGGTGGGAGAGTTGGTTGCCTTCAACCCCGGCGGGGGCAGAAAAGGACAAAGGGGAGGGTGAAGGCACCCTCTAGGCGGGAATTGGCTGCCTGGGTGGAGAGGGGAGGGAGGGGATCTGTTCGAGGTGGGGGCCGAGGTGAATCTCCTCGGCGGTGGCAACGTCGGACAGCGGTGGTGGTGTACGGGGATTTTTTCTTTGCGCGGTGACTATTGGAAGCTTCTTGGACCAATCATGTTGTTTTCAGCTTTTGGGGGTTCTGAGAGCTAGAGCAGCATCGGGTCTTCTTCTTTATTAGGATCTTCGACCTCAGAGATGGTTGCACCTGGACTGACATCAATAGGGTTGCTTTGTTCTATGCTCTCAACTTGCCAATGCCAGAACGACGCTGGCCGGAGCTGGGGTGTTACCCTGTAACCTGCCACGGCAGGAGCGTGAGGCCTTGTAGAGAGATGTGGCGTTTGTCGAGGGAGGAAGGCAATCCAGTGGCGAATTGGGGGGCCGCCTTGACACCCTCTGGGGACGGGGAGAGTCTCGGGGGCGAGAAGAGGTCAGCTATGGTTGATGTTGTTTTGGTTGGTACTGTCTTTGAGTAGTAGTGTCCCAGTATAGGGAGGGCTAGGAGTTGCTCTCGGATTAAGAAGCCGGAATAGCTGATATAGCATAGTATTCACAATCCTTTAGATCTAATAAAGGTAGTGCAGTCAATTTCTTTAGAATTCTCAAAAAAAGCATAATCATCTTCATCATCATCATCATGAGTATCATTATCTCATCAATGTTATATTAAGCTTTCTGGTGTTCTGGAATTCTGGGCAGCATCGAGTTTTCTTCCACATCCGGGATATAGGATTTCAGGGATGGTCGAACC